GGAGCAGTTGTCTAAGGCTGACACCGCTGTGTGGGTGTGTGTGTGTGTGTGTGTGTGTGTGTGTGTGTGTGTGTGTGTGTGTGTGTGTGCGGTCTTACATGAAACCCTTAACCAGACACACTGTCTATATTTATTAATTGAATGACCTTTTATAGCCTCAAAAAATTGCTGGTCTGTGACAATGTCCTCAGATGGTCCTCTAATGTGGAGAAATGTGCTGTACTGAGTTTTCTTTGTTCTTTTAACCCCCTTTTCACTCTCTTTTTATGCTTGGCTGTTCATGTTTTTGTACATTTATTTTTCAGGTTGAATGGAATACTGTTCTTTGTATCAAAATCACCACACTTATTACAGTGAATATTCTGTAATGAGCCTGCCACAACAAAGACCCTCATTCTGCGTGATCCTGTGAGAGCTGTGTCCTGGGACAGGAGTGATGCCAGGCTGCAAGAACTGATCTATTTGTATTGGTTGAAACAGACAAGTTTTGTAGTGATGATGAAGCTGTGGGCATTTGTTTACACAGAGGGATTTTATTCCTTTTTAGCTTTCACAAAGCACTGCTAAACAAAGTCAAAGATTGGAGTTACCCTAAAGGAGGAGAAAACCAAACCGATGCTTCAACTCGAGTTTCTTCTCATGACCCTACTGCTGGAAGCCCAAATTAAACAACTCTTAAGTTTTCGATGTGACTGTTTTATGAGGCTTTCTAGTTTTCTGACAAGGTCACAATAAATTTTGTGGTTTTTAGTTTATTAAATTCAAAGTGTTTCTATCAGTTAACCAATACCCTGCATACAGATCAAACACGGAGGTATAAAAGTTTTCATAAAAAACAACTTTTCATGAAAATGGGGCATGTTTCAATATAAAAAAGCTGTTTTATTGAGCTTCTAGATATAACTGCTTATGTCCAGAGACAGTTAGCTGTATGTYATATGTCAAAAGAAGTTCCAAACTCATTTTTCAGACTCGTTTGATGAAGGTAATTTATCTGATTAGTCATTTTGAAATGTTTACTTACCTACACATATCCTCCTGGTGAGCACATACGAGCACAAAGGGCAAACTTAAAATAACAGAAGCAGACTGAATGAATATTTCATATTTTATATTATTTATATAGCCTATCTGTTAC